ATCTTCCTCTTCATCTTTATCTTTATCTTCGTTAAAAAAAAATATATTTTTTATATCGGAAAATATGCAAATGCGTATGTATGTATATCGCACATTTCTTTCTTTTTGGAATTTTCTATATTAAGTTTCACTTCTTCCGCGCGTAGGGACGACACCCACTGAGATGTTTTTCCAGAAATTGACATACCTCTGAATATTCCAGTACATCTGCTTGTACCCAAACCTTCCTTTAGGTACCCGGTACTGAACGAAAAATTTCGGTACTGTACCGGTGATTTATGTTCAGGTGGTCACCTTATAGATACATAATTTAAATACCAACAAAGTAACAGTGGGTTAATTTACTTACGCATTAAAATCTGTAGCAGTAAATTATAAAAAAGATTTCGCAGGCCAACGACATTTGCTCCTTGCTGTCAACTTTAAAATTTAAAATAAATACGCACGCACTGAAACAAAACATTAAATATAGCTAACTGGGCTACCACTAAGCAAAACAAAGCGAACGGAATAAACCGAGATACGCAAATTTCGCGAACTGACTGGCACGTGCTGGTACCTTTATCCTCTGCCACCACAGCGGCTGCAGTGTTTCTCACAGATAAACAAATATTGTATTTTTTGTTAATTTTTCATGTGAATTATTTTTCAATAAGAATTTGTTAAACGGCTCCTGAATTTTGAAAAGTAAAAATGTCAGTTTGAGTACATTCTCTTATCGGATCTCTCTTTGTTTTTTGAATATATCGACACTCTGATATTGGGGAATGTACTTTGAATTTACTAGCAATATAGAAGTACTACATATATGTATTCATCACTTCAGCACTGTATAGTACCACTTATTTTAGGTTTTTTGTTTGTATTTGTTTTGTTAGGTTCTTACTTATAAAGAAAGTTCAGGTCCCACTACATTGCAAAAATGCATTACAAAAATCTGTAAACGGGCTTTCGCTTACCCAATCGATTACAAGTAATGCAAAGCTTTCAAAATTGATGAGATAGTGATTACCGCCAATGGCATGCCTGTTTGAAGATAACGTAATCTTAACAGTTAGAGATGAGCGCGAATTCCTCGATGATTTTATCCATTAGATGTAAGACAAGTTTTTGCCGGATACTATCACTACCCCCCGGGGAATGCTACGAGTTGTGAACTAGTATTAGAACAGTTTTCCTTTTTCAATGTTAACGACTGGAATTTTCCATGGCGATATTCTACGAAGTGTCAATTACTAGGCTATGCATCAGCATCTACTAGTAGAAATACTGTAGCATCATACCAGTTGATGGGATGGTCTACCAATTCATCCCCCGTGAAAGGCATAAGTATGCCATTTTGCTCGCGACGCTATAACAGTCGCAATGACCGACATAGCAAAGTCGCATTTGTAAATTCACAACAATAAAATTCAAAAGGTTGCCATGGTAGCAAGCATAGAATTTGCAAACGCAATTCCAAATGCAAATCCAAGACCATTTCCACAATATCCTGAATGGCCCTAATGTTTTCCCCATGCCATAGCTTTGTACTGTCTTTATTCTCTCACCTAAGCGCGCTCTTCTATTGTATAAATATTACTCACTAAGAACACTTGTATGCCTCTTTTCTCTGTATATAGCTACATATACGAATGCATGTATGTGCATATATGCTTACATTTAATTTCTCTTCTCAGCAATCTTCCTACAACGCTTACCTAATGGCTGGCTTGGGCATGGGTGGAGGAACACTTGGCATGGCTGCTGCTGTTGGAGCCTCACATTTGACAAGTGCTGCAGCAGCAACTGGTGGCATCGGTGCGGGCGCAAATACAACTCCTACTACAGCTACGAACACTTTAAGTGGATTTGCAGTGGGTGGTGCAGCGCTGCTTGGCTTAGGAACGCCTGCGCTGCTAACCAAGTATCACCACCAACACCAACACCAACATCATCGACACTCATTGACTACGCGACATCGAGTGTTACGCACCCGAAGCTCGGGAGCGACACACAATGTTTGGGATGAACAATTGATGGAGGTGGGTTGGTTAGAATTAAATGGTAAAGACAAAGGTATAGGAATGAACGTTTCAGGGCAGTGTACATAGTATGTATTCAAGTAACAGGATTAAATTCGTATCGAAGGAAAAAGTGTTACGACGGCCAACACTACTGAAAATGGATTTCAGTTATATACGAAGGGTCAAAAGAAGGTAGAAGAAAAGTTAATTTGTGGTGACAAGTGCTAACGTACATTTCTAATTAGTGTGTGTCCGTAGAAAAATGTCGGCGCATACTTTTAGGCTATAGGTACGGTGACCATTTTTCCGGCATTATACGGGACAGTCCTCTTTTTTCGTCAATTGTCCTGGTAATTTATTTATTTCATACAGAACGCCAAAAGTTCCGTGTTTCTTCTAATGTCCCGTACTTGTCCCGTATTCGGTATTTTGACGTCCTAGTAGCTCATAAAAATGACATGCCTATGAACTAGTAGTTTTTATACAAGTGCGCAAGGGTATTATAACTTTGTTCACATAANGTAGTAGTAGTTTTTATACAAGTGCGCAAGGGTATTATAACTTTGTTCACATAACAGTTGTTTGTAACAGGCAAAACGAATTGTGATAGATATAGACAAATGTGTACATAAATGATCAGAATGAAAAAAGAAACCGATTAAGCGGTGACAGTCTGCCCGTCTAACTGGAGTAAAACTTTAGATATCATAACGAAACTCGGTATGTGTACTTCTTTTCAGCGTAGGACGGACGGTATTGAAAATGGGCAAAATCGGACAATAACCACGCCTAGCTCCCATATAACGGTAGTTTTCATAAATACGAAAACTGCGATATTTTAGTAACTGCTTAAGCCTATTCACTCAAATTGATACTTACAATAATTTTTAAACGGAAAATAAGAATATTATAAATTTTGGAAAAATGGGCGTAGCCACGCCCACTTATGACTACATGTGTATATCGCGGTAACCACTCCACCAGTTTCTCGCAGACTTGGCACGCTAGTTCGCCTTAGTACAACATATCAAATGGCTGCAAATTTTTAAAATCGGACAATAACCACGCCCACATCCCATATAACGGTAATTTGGAGAAATACGAAATCTTCGATAAATCAGCAAATACCGAAGCTAATTTATTCAAAATTGATATTTGCAATAATTCCTTAGCGCAAAATACGTTTATAATAAAATTTTGGAAAATGGGCGTGGCACCGCCCACTTATGACCAAATATGGGATGATTATTGCCATACAAAAGCAAAACGCTGAAAATTATTGAAATCGGACCAAAATTATGCCTAATTTTTATATAACGGTAAATTTCAGAAATGCTTTAAACTTCGATATTTCGAAATTTGAGGACGCTAATTTACACAAAATTGATACTAGCAACATTCCCTTGAAAAGAAATAATATTATTATGGAATTTTGGAAAATGGGCGTGATACCGCCCACATATAACTATACAAGTTTATCGAAGATGTTTGAAATAGGGATAAAACCACCCTTACCATGTAGCGGTGGTTTTCGGAAAGGTGAAAAAAAACTATACTTAACATATGTATGTAGACCATTTCTGAAGTTATAATTTTGCGTAGGAAATTTGTGAGTAGATATGAATCGAAATTAGACGTTAATGATCATTGTTCAATTTTCTAAAAAAAAAAAATTGCCCTTGTATTAGCTTTTCAAATGTTTTTTCAACGCATTTCACGTGGAATATTCTGTACGGAGCAAAGCATATTGAACAGGTAGCAGCAGTAGAGTAGTTGATCTTACGTTTTTTCTTTTGTTTTGAAAAATTATAAAAATTAAATTGAGCGAAAACAAAAAGCAAAACCAAACAAAAGTAAAAGAATCAACATTGAACTGCGTCAAAATGAAAATAAGGGAGCACGAATTTCGATGTGAAGCAAAACTCTCTGGGAAGACAATACCTGTAATTATTGTAGCATGGGGCAGTGTAGGTAGATCTGCCACTTTGTTGAGCATCTACCACATCTACCACTCAAGGTCTGAAATCTACCACATATTCGCGTTTTTGAGTAGTTTTATTTTTGCTCGACATAATTTTCCTAATTTTAAGAGCAAAAATTGTCCAACACTAAACACTGTATGGAAACCAGAATGATATAATACAAGATTCCGCATTCCCGGCGACAATGAAATTTCTTAAGTAAAAGTAAGCAAAGCCGAATGGGAGGATAAAATAAACTGTAAAATAGTAAATTTACTCAGTAATCAATTTTTCGACAGAAAACGCGGTTTTATTGAGTTAAATTGCAAAATATATGATTTATAAAAATAATTAATAATGAAAATGTTAAAAAACGGTGATTTTTGTGAAAGTATTAGCAAATTTAAGTGCATCTAAGGTTTCTGAGGCGTTGTTTACTTTGACTTGAGAATTGTCAATATCGGCAAATCCCAATTAGCTGTTTCTGGAACGTGCCACATTTGTTCGCAATTTCGTGATGTGATAAAAAGAAAAGCTGGCAGCACTCCGCAAGGTTGTAGAAATCTCTCAAAATATATTCGAAAAATATCTTGATATAGAAGGAACTGCTTTACACTATCAAGGAAAAAAATTGCCAAAACTCAACGCAATTTTTAGCAACTTCAATCTTGCCCTTTATTATACTAAAATTAATTTTTTTAAAGTCTAATTAAAAAGTTTGCCATTTAGTTGAAATCTACCACATTTTTTTCCAGATTCTAGGACACAGAATTTTTTTAGGGTCCGATCACTGCCAAGGGGTACTATTACCTGTCCGTGCCGTGGTGTGGATGTAATTTTAAATAAACTACGCCAAAAAAATTATTGCTGATTGTATGAGGGATTTTTCAACATGAGAAACTCCAAATAAAAAGGTTACCTTGAGAATGTTGCAAATATGGTCACCGTAGATATAGGCCAAGTTGTGAATATTCCTATACCCTCCTCGGTCCTAACGTGCAGCCTACTGGACATATTTCAAATGTCCGTAGAAATGTTTTGATAATAGTTTTTGCGTTGACGACCATTTGTAAAGCTAGCTGGACATGATGTTTGTATTAAAAACCAGAAACTTTTGCTCTATTCTGGTAATACTGTAAAATAAAGCACAATAAGTGTAGTCAGCTGAGCTAAAAACAAGTTTTGTGAAGTGGTAATGAAAATAAGTTAAAATTTTTAAAGCCGTGAAACGGAAAAACTCCAAAGTGTATTTAGATATATTCTTCGATTTACAATAAACAAGGTAATGTATAGATCTTATCACTAACGTTATTCTAATACCCTTATTTTTGGCAACTTTGTTCATGACCAGCCCACTGCACATTTGTAACGTACTAGTAAAAATGGGAAGTAAACTAACAGAGCAGCAGATTTTTGACATGCTCTTGGAAAGCGATATTGAGGATATGTCAGATGATGAAGATGATATGAAGGAGCGAAATGGCATAGATTTTGAGGAAGAAATAACGACGGAATTATTAGATGAAGAAGAATCATCCACACCCGAAGTTCTGCCGCAAACCCAGGTCCGAAAATTAAAATGGTTTTCAAAAGGCTTTACAAATTCTCTTCAGTGTTCCGACGAAATTGAATGGGATGTTGAGAATAGACAGATGTGGACACCATTTAATTATTTTTGTGAGTACTTCGACGATAGCTTCTGGAGTTTGATTTCAGAACAAAGTAACATATATGCTCTTCAAAACAACCACAATTTAAACTCAACTCCTTCTGAATACAAAAAGCTTGTTGGCGCTCATATTGTTGCGGGGTGCATGAAACTTCCAAGGATACGTATGTATTATCGGCCTCAAATAAAAGTCCCAGCTATCACACAAATTCCCAGAGACAGACTTTTTAAGCTGAGAAATAACATGCATTTTGTTAACAATATGGCAGTTACCGAAGAGGAAAAAAAAGATAAGCTTTGGAGAGTTCGACCAGTACTAGACGTTTTGTTGAGAAGGTAGTGAAGTATTCATTGACCGCTATTTTACCTCTATAAACATCCTCGAGCATTTGTTGAATAAAGGAGTATTTGCGACAGGTACTATTCAACTTAACAGGGTACCGAAGGAACTTCGATCAAAGTTATCAAACGACAAAACTTTATCAAAAAAAAGGAAGAGGTAGCTACGAAGAATTCGTTAGAGAGGATGATAAAATGTGTGTTGTCAAATGGGTGGATAGCCGATCTGTACTAATAGCTTCAACATCCACTGGATCGGTTCCTCTTCAATCCGCTCGGCGATGGGAAAAGTGCACAGGAAGTATATTAACGTTGACTGTCCACATGCGATTTCACGCTACAACCAATGCATGGGAGGAGTTGACTTAGCGGATAGCTACGTCTCTTACTACAGGATTGCAACTCGCACTAAAAAATGGCCTTTGAAGGTATTTTGGCATTTTGCCGATGTTGCCGCTTGCAACTCCTGGGTAATGTATAAAAAAGACAAATATGCATGCGGTGAAAAAAAAAGTATCATGGACTTACTAGATTTTAAATTGTATATCGCGGAATGTTTAATTGCTGATGCTATACTAGAGGAACGGGGAGAATCTTCTTCTGAGATAGAAGATGAACCCCCGCAAAAAAGAGCGAAAAGAATAATAAAACCCCTGCCGCCGAGAGATGTACGAACAACGAAAAATAAACATTTACCTATTTGCGCCGTTTCTGATAAAAATAAGTGTATGCGTTGTCGTAAAGAAGGATGCAACCAAAAAACACGTTTTAAGTGCATTTCTTGCGACATATTTCTATGTATCAACAATGATCGACATTGCTTCATGGAGTTTCACTCTTAATTGCTCACTACTGCTATATTAATGCTTTTGTTTATTTTAATAAATTTTTCATCCAAGATTTACTGTAATTTATGAATTTAAAAATAATATGGATTAAAAAATGAATAATTTATGTTCTTGTATAATAACGTGTTTTATTCAACTTAGTTACAAATGTCCAGCCGGCTGCACCTGCCATATCTTCGAATCCTGTCATCCCATATGTCCTTGAACAAATTTTGTTTTCTAATGTTGATGTGGGATGCATGAAAAAAACATTTTTGATAGCTTCTTACTTTTGGTTAACCCTTGGGACTGAGGAGGATACATTCAAGCATATCCATGAGAATAGCTATTAGCTACCTCTTTGCCATAGAAACTCTTCAGAAATGCTATCACGATGAGACCCATTGTTCTCAATTCCCATTATTGTTGGTGTTACATACTTGTGTTGCCGCACCAGCTTCATCTTAACTTTCAACAATGAAAACGAGACAGTGTAATAACTAGACCTTCGGCGATAATTGAATGAAAATGCGAACATTACTCAATTAATAAGATTATAGTTTTTACCTTGAAATAAAATTACCACCCAAGGAAGTAGATGCCTGCTTGGGGAAGGGAAAACCTCAGATGCTATTTAGCTGTGAGGTTGAAAGGCCGCAAAAGAATATACAAATTTATACATCCTACTAATCTTACTTCTTACTTAATATTATAAATGTTATATTATAAAATGAAAGTTTGTATGTTTGGATGTTTGGGAAATCATCACGCGGAAACGACTGAACGGATTTCCATGAAATTTTGTACGCAGATAGCTTATGGGTCAGATTGGGTAATAGGCTATTTTTTTTTAAGAGTTGCCACCTGGAAAAAAGTTAAATTTATTTCATATGCGGGAACGACTGAGCGGATTTGCATGAAAATTTGCACACAGATAGCTTATGACCTAGGTTGGAAAATAGGCTACTTCTTTTTAAGAGCTGCCACCTGTTAAAAATGTTTAATAAAATCAATACGCGCAAATTAGTGAACTGATTTGAATGCAGGTTTTCACACAGATAGCTTATGAGATAGGTTGGAAAATGGAATACTCTTTTTAAGAGTTCCCATCTGCTAAAAAAGTTTAATTATATTAATACGCGGAAACGTCTGAACGGATTTGCATGAAATTTTGCAAGCAGATAACTTATGACCTGCAGTGAAAAATAGGCTAATTTTTTGGAAGAGTTTCCGCCTGTTAAAAAAGCTGAATTAAATTAATACGCGGAAACGACTGAACATATTTGCATGAAATTTGGCACAGAGATAGCTTATGACCTACTTTGGAAAATAGGTTACTATTTTAGGAGTTTCCACCTATTAGAAAAGTTTAATTGAAGGCCGCCTACGCAAAAATACTGTGGCGCCTGATCTAGTTTAACCTAGGCACAACTAGTTTGTCCTAAGATCGGGATTGGCCGGCAACATATACATACCAATTTTTATACTTTTTCTTCCTAGACAAAACTACTGCATAGCAATCAGTAAAATCGGATTAGGATTACTTGTTTTTTGTCGCACCTTGTACACGAATTTTCCAGTGTGAATCGTTAATTCTATGAGAGATTAGCAATAGCGACGCAACTGAAATTTGTTTTGTTATTTGTTTAAAGTGTATTGAGCATTTTTATACCAATCACCTTGCGCCGCAACCAGTTACTCGCAGACATATCAAAAGTTAGAATATTTGCCACTGGGGGCCATTATTCAAAGTTCCGACTAGTGCATGGGTGACTAGTGATGTGGGGGACTCAAATTCTTGAGTCATCACCTTATAGTGAAAACCGGGGTGAAAAAACGAAAAGAGAGAACCAGCAATGCAAGATTCCATGTTTAATTCTCCTATCTTGTATCACCCACTTTCCTTTCAGTTTGCTAATTTATAAGCATGTATATAGCCGTCGAGTGGGAAAAAGTACGTTTCATTGGAGAAAATTTGGTTAAGGTGGAACCATTTGCTGTATCTAGCGAAATCAATCTTCCGTCTGCCAGAATTTATACGATTGAAGCAGGGCCCTTAACTCAGTCTTCTTTAAAGACAACATTAAGGTTACATTTTTGGCGATTGCATTCAAGTATTTAAGTAACAGTTTGAACTTCATTTACTTAAATCTTCTCTACATCTCATTCCAGCACCTCGCGGCCTACTCGCCGATTTCGACGCGCTCTCACCGAATCAATCCGGTGTCATCATATCAGGTGCAAGCTGCATTGGCTGCCTCCCGTCGACGTGAATCCATCAACAGTTCGATTGGTGCTGCATCAATAAGACGCCTCATTACGTTAAATAACCGTAACTGCCGACATAAGATTCCACCACACGTACGGCACAAAGTGTGCCAGAGTTTCATCAGCCTAACGCTGGCGCATGGACTAATATGTGCAGTCTTGCTGCCGCTCTTTGCGCTACAAGGTTCAAATTCTGTGTGGCATCAACGCGAGCAGTGGCTGCATGTGGGACCAAATATCGGCTCGCTGCTGCTAAGCGGTTGCTTTTTTATTTCCGCCGTTATGTGCCTCTTTACCAAACGCCTTATACAGAAATTCGGTTATACATCAGTAATTAGCACCAGCTATGTTGCGACGGGAATATTTCTCTTATGCCACCTGTTTCCCTCCATCTTTACGCTGCTGCCAGCATACATGCTGCTTGGCGTCACTTATAGTCCTTCGTGGGTAAGCAAAATTGCACTAGTTGTGCACTATGGCAGCAAGCTGAGTTGTTCGCAGCACGAATGCATGCACAGTTCATCGCATGTTTCGGACGTAATGGATGAGCACAAACTATTCTGCAACCGCGATCAGAAGGTTCGCCGTTTAGCGCGTTGGTTCCAGGTGGCTCAGGATGCGGGAATTATATTGGGCGCTTTACTGGCGTCATTCACTCTCGCTTGTAGTTCCAGCGATTGGAATTGTTTCGATAGTGGTGAGACGGTGACATTAGAAACACAAGCCACTTCATTACCCGGACAGAACCTAACTGAGCCACTTCCAAAGGCCATGGCAGTGCGATCGCATTCTTACACAATGACTGGTTTTTTGCCTAATATACCGGGTTACTTCGACGACTTTTATTATCATAACGAACACGGCGAGAGGATTTGTGGTGCCGACATGTGTCCCGTTTGGTATCATGACAATAGCTTCGACGACACTGGCAACGGAACCAATGAAACCATCTATACGCAGTTCATCAATGAAAGATCAACTGGTGGCGGGATTACACTCATAAGTGTGTACTTCCTGTTCATAATAGTTGCGGTAGGATTATCTTTCTTTGGTGGAAAAATACAGGCCACTTTTCGGCGTGATGTGCACTTAAAAGGCGTGACAGATACGTTACTCTTCGCTGGACCGATGGCGTATTTTGTGGGCACCGAGCAGGCTTATATGCTGGGCGACTTTTTGCGGGTATGTACGCACGAACGCTTGGCTTTCGACATCCAAAGGTTGATAATTGCAAACATCAATTTGATTTCGAATTTTCAGGCTTTCGTATCATGTTCACTGGGCATTAGCATGGTTGCAGGCGCATTGGTCGGCATGGGCATCATGCAATGCATAGTATCCTGCACGCTGAGTATGCTGCTGCGGCACACCAAGCGTATTGTGGTCATTTGTAAGTTAATGCTTCCTACATAAATATGAACCTTTTACGTTTCAAATAAATCATAATGAACTCCTTTTCCCCAACTTTTATCGTGTCTTCTTTCAGTGGCCGGCTTCTTCTTTCAATCATGCCTGCTGCTTGCATTATCCAGCTGGAAGCCCTCTAGCGATGATATGGCGCTCTTTTACGTACTGGCCGCCTCGTGGGGTGCCTGTAACGGTATGTGGGAGACGCTCTTGATGGCCTTAATCACATTGAATCATGCCAATCATGTTACGGAGGTAACTAGTCCTTTACAGGGAATGCGTTTCCTCGGATTGGGCATGACTTTCGCGGCGCATGGCTTAATGTGTGAGACGCCCAAGATTATCACCATGGTTATTATGCTGGTGGTGAGTTTGCCGGCGTATGCAATGCTGGAAACTAGACTGGAAGCGCAGCGTAAATTGCAATTGATCAATTTATGACGAAGCATTTTCAGTTAGTCAAAAATGCGTGGCACCATGGCCAGAACTCATACGATGTAAAAGGGTCATAAGCGGAATTGTGGAAGGTGCAAGACAGCCGCGCGTCAGTGAGACTGTAGTGAGAGTAAAACAATATTAAGTTTAAATTGAGCTAGCGAAAGTTTTTTTTACATACCCAAATACATTAATAGATATGTACCATATGTATTAGGGTGATTGACTCGGTTTTTCCGAAACGGTTTTAGCCAGTTTTTTCCAAAATTTTTGGGCGATTTTTTTGAAATCGTAATTTTTTTAATATCGTATAAACCGGAGTTATGTTATCGAATAAGCCGGGTTATCTAGAGTATTTATACAATTGCATCTTAAAGTTCATGCAAATTCATATCGAGGGTTTATATTCAATACCCTCTATCTGCACTTTTCATAAAAATGAGATTCTGATATAAAAATCCACCTAAGACTTAACTGTCAAAGCTGATGTTAATTTACTATTATTGCAAAGTTAGAATTAACATCAGTGATTACAGGTACGTCCCAGATGAGTTCTACCATCACAAAGTAGTTTTTGTTAAAACTGCAGATAGAGGGTATTGAATATACAGTATCGGTCATATCTATAGCACGCCATTTCAAAGTGATATTGTGTGCCACTTATGTTTATTTATTTATTTTTAAGAATTTTCAATTAAAATTGAGTTCATTCTCAGACAAATCCCATATATACCCAAGTTTAACAATTTGTAGAAAACTTCAAAAAAGTGCAACAAAATTTCACCTAAATTTCAAACTTTTTTCTCGGAAGTGTTAGAATTTGTTTTAGTACACAGTTTTTTAGCCCCTGCAATTTTAGTCTGATAATGTGCAAATTTCAAGTAGCTACGAGTTACCGTTAATTTTTTAGAATTTTTTTGTCGTATTGGCTTCCATATAATGAATAAACTCAATTTATTTGTATATGGAAGAAAACCGCAACACCGCGAAAAAAATTCTAAAAAATCAACGGTAACTTTTAGCCACCCCAAACTTGCACATTATCAGACTAAAATTGATTGGGCTATAAAACTGTGTATTCAGAAAAATTCTAACACTTCCGATAAAAAAGTTTAAAAATTATATGAAATTTTGTTGCACTTTTTTGTAGTTTTCTACAAATTGTTAATCTTGGGTTTATATGGGTTTTGTTAGAGAAAGACCTATATTTTAATTGAAAATTCTTAAAAATAAATAAATAAACATAAGTGCTACACAATATCACTTTGAAATGGCGTGCTATAGATATGACCGATACTGTAAGCCCTCGATATTATTTTTTATTTTGTTGAAACCGCAAACAGAACTTTTTACCAATCTTGCTCTTAAATACAATCCAGTTCTTGTCGAAGATTCTTTTTTGTTAGAGGTATGTATTTGAAGAATTGTTAAATAAATTAAAAAAATTTGGAAGGAATAAGTATATCATTTTGCTTGCGATAGTCCAACAGTTGCCGACAGAGTAAAGCTCTGGTGTGTGATTCTAGAAATCGAATCCTCGGGCATGGGGATTTTTTAATGCGTTTTATTCATGTATTTTTTATTTATGTTGTTTTATGGTAATTTTTAAATTGGATTGTTTTAAATGAAAAGAAATGCATTTCATTTAATTCTTGTGGTGTGTGAGTATTTAGGTTATTTTCCAAATGAAATTAATTTCGCAATTTATATTACGTTGAAATAATTGACTTGCTTTACTTAAACCACCTCCAAGCGGCCTCGAAACTGCGAAGTCACTTTGTAATTTATATTTAGTATTTAAATTGAATTGCTTTACTCTACCACCCCCAGGCGGACTCGAACCTGCGATCTCAGAACCAAAAGCGGTAGCTCTCACGGTACAAGCGATTGATTTCGTTCCGCGGAGATATGATACTTGGGTTGTTCACGCTTGCCTGGCTATCAGGTTATCTGGTTAAAAATTATAATTGTGTAGTGTATGTTATTATTGTAAACTGAATAAAAAATATAACCACATAACCAGATAACCTGATAACCAGCCACGTGTGAACAACCCAATTGACTTTCTGTCCAGATTTCTAGCAAGAAAGAGCTGCGACTTTCAAAATAACAATATGATTAAAAAAAACTCCTATACTTTTTACTTATTGAATTATAAATTCGTTATATTTTATAAAAATGTACAGGAGGATCTTTCCATTATGAGTAACCTTCATAAAAGAAAGAATGCATATAAGGAATGTTTTCTGTGAAATTTCTGCCTTTTTTATATGCAATAAGTACTCTAACTGCGTTTTATTTTTGGCTTTGACAATTCAATGGCAGATGTCACTTTTTATATGTAAAAGTAGTAAATTGTAGTAAATTGTTATATGGAAGGAAATGCAATAAAGTTATTGAAAACAACGAATTTTTCTAAAAATTCTGAATAAAAATTTTAAAGCTTTTGGGTGTAATTGTCAAAGTTTGTGGAATTTTCATAATTTTCGAACAAAGCTTGAAATTTGGATTTATGTAGTGTCCTAAGCTTTTATAAACAAATATAAATATTAAATAGACAAAATGAAATTAGTCTAAGCTGGTCAAAATGTCACTTAATTTAATAAGCTGACCACGAGGGTATATATGTACATAGATACAAATATGATATTGCCAAATGTATAAGTTGTATAAGTTTCTTAGAGAATAGAGTAACAAACTTCTGACTCCATTTCAAAATGTATGTTCTTGTTTATTTTAAATTTTTCTTCTGCCATGTTTTGTTTTTGTTTTCAACTGTTGAAATTTCTGTGGAAACCGTGGCTGGTGTATGCCAATATTTATTTATATAAGCTTCTTAGACGCCTGCTACACGTTCATAGAGAATGGAATAAGAAACTTTTGACTTCATTTAAGAAAGTCTTCTTGTTTATTTTAAATTTTTTGTTATTGTTTTCAAAGTATAATGGTGTTTTCGTTTCTCTTTTCGTATTCGATTCTACCAAAAAGGAAACCGGTGAGAAAATTATGTGTCCGTTTTTTAAAATGATACACTCCAATAAGGCAAAAAGGCACATTTGTCAGTGACAATATTATGAAACGCGTAAGCTAGAAAAGGATAAAAGCTCAGTTAGTCTGGACTTAACTTAGTTTAACTTACCTTACGAAATCTTCAATGATTACTCAACACCTCACCTTAAGCTAGAAGCGGATATACTTTGTTTTTGTATTTTCTTTTTCAGCTGTATGACAGTTTGTCGCCTAAAATGCCACACCAAAAAAAAAAATTCATACAAAAAAACCTTTTTGCGTTCATTTATTTTTGAGAAATACAAAAAATAAAATCTGGCAAGACTGATTCTGTTTCCGCTTACAATTTCCGTAAGGCCTTAACTTAAGAATCTAAAATCTACAGGTCCTTAAGTTGCTTACGGTAAGTTAAGTTTTAACTAAGCGCCAACACAGTTTTCCATATAACAGGTTAGCCAAAATATTAAGTTAAGTCAAGTTACGGAAATTAAGTCTAGACTAACTGAGCTTTAAGCAAGCAAAGCAATTAACAAATTGTGTTTTTAATATGCGTTTCTTAAATTCAGTGAAAACTTAACCAAATTTCAATATTTCACGAACTATTTACTATACCGCGATCAACATTTATCCAACTTAAAGTAAAAAACAAAATGCAGCTTAAAGTATTTTTTTGTAAAAACACACAGGCACTGTAGCGAAAAGGTAGCTAAAAAAGTATTTATATTTATTCTAACACATCTGATTCCAGTAGATTTTATTCACGAAATGATTTAATAAAAAGTATTAAAAATCCGGAGACATTTCAGGATATGTTTGATTGAAATGTGTTTATCGTTACCTTAATTCACAAAAGCCCTAAGCAACAAATTTTTAATTTTACAGTAGAAGCAAAAAAACATCATAAAAAGAGAATCAAAAACAGGCACGGCTTTTTAAAAAGTTGCATGTAACTCCGTTGTTGTTGGTACATTTTTTATTGAAGGTTTATTTTATACATTCTACAAAAATCTGTGAAAAATGGAATTTCGAAAAAAGTGTTGGTTAGGGCCTTTGTGGATTAAGGTAACGATATTTATGTTTTAGAAAATATTTATAAAATGGCAAGGAAAAAATCAGTTGTTCCCAAAACTTTGTATTATTAATTAGATGTAATGTTTGCTTTACTTTGCATAACGTTGAGTTTATTCCATTTAATTGTCTTTTAAACGAAAGCCATACCTTATTTTAAAACTTTTACTCCATTTTTCGCTTTCATTTCTTTAAGAGCAATTATCCGGTCTTACCGGTTTTTCTGAATGAAATAGAATTAAAAATTTAGAACCGGTTGTTTTCAATTGCCTTTTTTCGAATAACTTGAAACCGGTTTTGAAAAGCTCGAATAATCGAACACCCTAGTATGTATATACATAAGAGCGTGTCAGACGTGGCAATATATTTCGATGCAATAAATTTCGGAAAGGCTGTCAAATTGAGAGCAGTCACACCTTGCATGGAAAGTGTCTTTCGAAAGAAGTTTTTATTTCCGAAAGGCGAATTGCAGGAAAAATTTCTGAAATCGCTTTTTGGCTGCTCACACAGCGAATGAGTTTCTNAATTTCTTTAAAAGCAATTATCCGGTCTTACCGGTTTTTCTGAATGAAATAAAATTAAAAGTTAAGAACCGGTTGTATTCAATTGCCTTTTTTTCGAATAACTTGAAACCGGTTTTGAAAAGCTCGAATAATCGAACACCCTAGTATGTATATACATAAGAGCGTGTCAGACGTGGCAATATATTTCGATGCAATAAATTTCGGAAAGGCTGTCAAATTGAGAAATCAGTTGCATGAGCAGTCACACCTTGCATGGAAAGTGTCTTTCGAAAGAGGTTTTTATTTCCGAAAGGCGAATTGCAGGAAAAATTTCTGAAATCGCTTTTTGGCTGCTCACACAGCGTATGAGTTTCTGGCAATCTTTCTCGATATTAAAATGCAACCATGGGCGGTGGGGTTGTCGTTTGTTTGCTATTTCTCTTGTAAAAGCGAGAAAGAAAACGCGAAAAATAAATACTCGACGTAAGCTGCTGTTGAAAGAGAAAGCAATTTTATTAAAAATTATTGCCATTATTATTAAAAAAATAGAAGTGGATGATTCGCGTACACGCTGGTCTGTTTGGGTAAGACAATTTTGGGAGCGCGGAGCAAACAACCCATACTATACAACGTTGATGAATGATTTGTACTCAATCAAAAAAACATAAACCCAAAAATAAGCAAAAATNGAAAACGCGAAAAATAAATACTCGACGTAAGCTGCTGTTGAAAGAGAAAGCAATTTTTTTCAAAATTATTGCCATTATTATTAAAAAAATAGAAGTGGATGATTCTCGTACACGCTGGTCGGTTTGGGTACGACAATTTTGGGAGCGCGGAGCAAACAACATACTATACAACGTTGATTAATGATTTGTACTCAATCAAAAAAACATAAACCCAAAAATAAGCAAAAATCAAATCCACAAAATATAGGTTATAATTAACATATTTGCCATGTGAACAATAATTTAACGATTAAGTATATTAAGCAAAATAATATATTTCAAGCATTTTTGATA